AGGAACTGGAACACAGGGAACCGGTAGCAATGACCTTATAAAACTTAACTGGCATTCCTTTGCTACCAGTAGATCTGAAACGGACTGCAGGGCTTCCCTCAGTTCATAAATTTCTGTGTCCAGTCTTCCAATTTTCTTCTCTAGGGCTTTGTTTTTCGTACCCTCGTCTGTGAGTTTGTCTTCCAGAATTGTAACGTGCAATTTCTTTCTCTCCTTCTCGTCCTTATCATTTTTCCACGCATCTGAGTGTTTACTCTCTAGGGAAAGAAGATGTTCTTGCTGTGTATCAATTTTTTTCAAACTCCGTATTTTGTCTTTTTATTAAACGCTCTTGTGATGTTGGTTAACTGAAGACTTTGCGGATAAATAATTTATCGCAATTAAAAACTCATTCTGAGATTCGATGACATAAAACGGTAATTCCATGGCGCACTTATGTTCAAAAAATTAAATTCATTCCTGAATGAATAAAATTCTGTTACATTTCAAATAAATTTTGTAAAATTTAATTTGTGACAATCGGCTAGCAGCAGATCTGTAGCTCGCTAGCTGGTTTGAAAAAACTGGGATGGATCACCAGAGAACTACAGTGCCACCCATATTAAAAAGTATATATTAATTGCTTACAAAAAATTGCGCTTGGTTCTGGATTAATTTCTCCGAATTTTTACCTCAACTGCATAAAAGATGGATTTCAAAATGTTCCAGAGACCTCTATCAAGTACTAGTACTTGACATGTGCAAGAAGCTCGTTCGGCCGAAGAATTTTGCCACCCAAAATGGAGGAATAATTGAACGATATTTTCGATATCTCAAATTCAGGCTGAGGAGGACTATTAATTACGGTTGTAAGGAATGTTTTGCTGTAGAAAAATTGATTGATTGATTGATTGATTGGTTGATTGTATACTGTTTAACGTCCCTCTCCAGAATATTTCAATGATATGGAGACGTCACTATTGCCGGCGAAGGGCTGCAAATTTAGGCCTTTGCTCGGCACTTATGGTCTTCGAACAGGGAGGGATTTTTATCGTGCCACACCTACTGTGACACGGGGCCTCGGTTTATACGGTCTCATCCGAAGGACCGCCCCATTTAGTCGCCTTTTACGACAAGCAAGGGGGTACTGAGGACCTCTTCTAACCCGGAGCCTCACGGGGCTAGAAAAATTGAAGGTATATGCTAGAGACACACGGTAAGTAATATTTTTAGATTGCAGCAGTTGAAAAACACGGATATTGAATATAGCTTCAGCGCAGTTTTTTTTGTGCACTTTAAATACACTCTTTTTTCTAATGGGCGGCACTGTAGCTCTTTTGCCTGACAATATAGCTAAATTTCTGTGAAAGTGAAAGGTTGGACATTTATATATATACGATGTAGGTACTGACGACTTTTGAGCATACGCAGAAATACCGAGAAAATGAACAATATTTCAGCCCAAAAGACAGTTTAAAACAATATAAATCACTAGCATCACAAAGACAGACTTTTTTTCAAAAAAAAAAATCAGAGGTAGAATCAGTCGAATTTGATCTTTTTATGACACCACCTGCCCCGTAACGAGACAGTTGTGTGTATGCTCTTGTCGAAAGGACCGGTCTCCGCGTCTTGAATCCCCAACGTACATATAATCCATATACATGAATGATACATGTATGTATTGATAAGTCTTTAAGGAAATCTCATGAAGGAAACTTACCTTATATTCTAATATTTTTCTAATTTTCTTTATTATTCGTATTTCTCAATTTATCATGCTCAAATTACATTTATTTATTTCTTAGGGTATTAAACCGTATTCGTCAGCCAGTCTGTCCATCTGTCATGAGAACTTTAAACTTGAAAATAACTATTGAATGAGTTGAAATAGGACTTTCATATTTCACATGTGCATTATTTGTGACATGTGATTTTCAAATATACTGTGATTTTTGATCCTGTGACCTTGATCTTGGAGCTTGACCTACTTAAAAAATAACATTACATGTACTTTAAATTGACTATAACTTTTGAAAGCTGCCATTTTATAAACATGTATTACCTGTGACAACGCCTTTCAAAATTCACTATGATTTTTTACCCTTTGACCTTGAAGTTTGACCTGCTTTTCAAAAACATTAACAATAGCAATACCCTTTGAATGAGAAGAGATTGGGCTTTTTTTTTTACCCCTGTGTATTACCTGAGACAACACTTTTCTAAATACACTGACTTTTGACAACGTGACCTTGAGGCTTGGCTTACTTTTCACAATTTTAACCTTGATCATAACTTTTGAATGAGAAGAGAAAGGGCTTTCATATTACACAAAAATCACATGCACGTTACCTGTGATAAATCATTTCAAATACTAGTATACAGGCACGTAGCAACAGGGGGCCAGGGGGGCCTGCCCCCCTTTTTATTCCCCAACCTTACTTATTCTATAGGAAATGTGTGTTGAAAGTAAAGTTGCCCCCCCCCCCCCCCTCACTATTAGTGATGTACGAGAAAAATTTAGTTTAAAATTTTAAAATTTGGTATTGAAAGTAGTTGACATTGAAAAAAAAGTTGGCCTCTACCGCCTCCCCCCCCCCCTTCCCCTCCGTCCGCAGCTCCGACGGAAGACCTACTCGTTGCTTTACAACGAGCTGGGGTCTAGTTTTAATTAACTTTCTTTTTTCCACTAAAATTTGTGATACATGCTTACACGTATGAACACCGTTTTCTGTACTTTGCGAAACATTAATATGCCAGAAAGTATCAATTGTAAAATACGTCACAGTGTTCTTAGGATGTAGATTTCAAGATGTTTTTACCTTTTTCAGAAACTTTGACAAGTTTTATTTGTAATATCTAATTCCCTCTACGTGTTTTAGAACTGAAAATATAAATTTTTGTTTTGATCTGTACATTTTAGTATCACGAAATATTTGTTTAACTTATTGTTAATCATCTAAAATCATCTAAAAAGATTTTGACATCTTCGATGCCTTTTGTCTTCATATGTTTTGTATTATATTTCGAAGTGTCATGCTGCATTTCTTTTCTATGAAAGACTATAAGTGTCAAAATCTTTATGTAGCTATTATCGTTAAGGATTATAAGGAATTAATAAAAATTACCCCACAAATAGATCATTCCAACAATTCTATTTGGGTTAAAATTTCTGAAGATTGAGCGACCAAACTTTAGTATACGAAAAAGAAAAATGTGGTTTAATTGAAGTTTTTTATTTTAACATATGTGACACATAAGTACAAATTAATCTGGAAGAATACGTAATCATGAACTCGATCGGAATCTTACAAGTAGTCATTACAGAGACAACACTACAGAGACACATTAATGAAACCTACGCTACCTGAAAATGAACGATGATTAACAGAAAATGTATGTATATATTGTGCTATTCTTTATAAAATCACTGAAAGTGGTGAAAATATCCCCTGAATGTATAAAAAAAATCATAAAGGAGTCCGAGAATCGATGTATCTGAAATTCAAACAGTTCTTCTTTAAAATGTATCAAGTATTAGACAATACAAGTACAAATTCTATAGAAGTTTAGAAATAACAAATCTTCAATATTATTATTTTTTCTGCAGAGAAACTGAAGTTGTAATACTCTATAATACAAATACAAAGAGCTATATTCACAAAAATTTTTTAGAGACTTCTATTCTATTCTTCAATAAACCTTTCCCAACAATTAAAACCTCGCAATTTCAATTCTCAGAGTAATACATGTATAGTGTATCGTGCTATCCAAACATATGCCATTTTAGTAACACTCACTTTCAAAAAGCTTTATATCCTGTATAAAACAGTCACTATACGTATATGGAATTAACGAACAATATCCAAGCTGAAACATTAATTTGAAAACAATACAATTCAGGAGCAGAGCAATCACAGCCCTCTAACACATCAGAGATGGAATTAGGTGTCATTCATGAGTGAGCATCCCCTGCTAACCGGTCACACCCGCCGTGTGCTCTTTGTCAAGATCGAGAAATAAAGGAAAAATCCGTTGACAATATGGTTCCTGTATACGAGTATATTACAGTCTAAAATTAGTATGAAAATGTCTGTCAGCATTTGATTAAATGATAGATTGCATTTTCTGACAGTGTCAGTGTATCATCATCAGAATCAGAAAATTTTATTTAGAGTCGGATTTTACAACATAAACATAAGCTCTGTAGAGCTTTTGACCGACATAGAGCTTCTGACCGACATCATAGGAAATGATGAGTTTAAACGAGACTGTTCATAAAGCTTGGTTGTTGGAATGTAATTATCTGTTAATGGAACACTAAAACATTTTTTTCTAGCTCGGTTAATACTTGCCAGGTATCTTTCTTTCATGTTAAAGATTAAGAGCAAATGATAACGGAAAAACTCAGAACTGCTTGTAAAAACTTCTCAGAATAACGTTAATACGACGAAAAATGAAATATTCATGTGATAAAGAACAATAATACAGCTTCAAAGTCTATCATATCAATACCAATGAAGAGGAGAACAAACATAGACCTCTTAAATTTTCAGAGTGAGATCAGGTTCCATGAAGGAGTAAGTATTCTCTGTCAACTGGACACATTCACTTTGAGCTTCCTATTTAATTGCCTTGACGAGAAAACGGAAAAATCCCTGGACAATTCAGTGTGAAAATAATAGTATAACAATTACACTGAAGTATGGAAACGTCAGCCAGCATTCGACTATATGTTAGATTGTATTTGCCACGAGGTCATCCTATCGATCATAGACCTTGCAAAGTAATGTCTTTAAACAATATTTTTGATTCATCAACTTGTTTGTTAATAACTTGCCTCGTCTTAAAAACTGTTATCAACCCTATATTAAAGTGATCAAGATGCATTACTACAAAGGGAAGGGAATTTGACGATAGGAAAGTCGAAGTCATCACGTTTATCAGAAAGTCTTGTTTCTCATTAACATCTTTTTGTAATTAGATAAAAAGGACAGAGCAGTGTAACTTATTTTCGAGCACACGGTTTTCTGATGTCTTTAAGGGGTTTAGAAGTCTGCCGAATCAATACAGGGGCATCAGCCAGGCCATTCCAGCAAGAAATAAGGCTATAAAGACGACTCCCACGTAACCTGTCACGGAGGCTGACGGCCGATCGTCGTCAGCGCTGATCTTCTTGTTTATTGTGGAGGAGATATTCTTTGTGTTGACGCTGAGGAGGCGCTTGAGTTGAGCCAACCTTTCACTCAGTTCATAGTATTGCCTCAGCTGGTTTTTCTCATTTCTCCAGTACACGACTTTGTCCATGTAGTCACAGGAACAGGGGCACATAGCTACAATGTAAATAAAAACTGTCACTGAAGGAAAAAAAAATCATCATGGTTTCAGTATTTCACTTGTAATTTTTAACTGTTTTGTAGTTGTACATCGACGAAGAAAAAATGATATCAAGCTACAATGTAAACAAAAACTGTTACTGAACAGAAAATACAGTTTTTGCTGATGAAATCCATTTAATCAATTATTTTTACTAATTTTATGTCTTATACTGTCTTTACCTATATCTTGACCACTTGAACCTTCAAAAAAGCCAATAACACTGGTTGGCAGAATTGACGACTACAGTGAGGCTTATTTTTAAACATGGCAGGACTTAAAAGGTATATTGGTGAAATACAGTACTTGCATTATTATTATAAATCATTGTGTTATTATGATAACTAGTATCATTAAAGCAAATTCATAATTATTCACAGATTTTAAGCATTCCCAAAGTGCGATAAGATATTTAATACACATTTCTTTTACTTATAACAAAACTCATTAATTCTCCCCCGTACCGGTTTGTGTTTGATCTTCCACTGACGTCACCGTGGAACTAGGGATAGCATTTGTGGTTACTGTTGTTGATGTTGTAGCTGATTCTGATGTTGAGGATTGCGATGTTGTTGGATCATCTATTTCAGATTAATCTCAAATTTAATACAGTTTGTGAACATAAATATATTAGTTTCACATTTCACTTTATATAAATAAATGAATTGCTTACTTATTTACTCAGAGGCAATAGATTGTAAAATTTATTTGTAAACTATAGAGGGATATCATATCAAATTAAAAACTGCTAAATTGTTATTATGAAAAAAATCATGAAGCAAAATCATCATAAATATCAAAATATTCAAACAAATAAGATACTTAATACACATTTTTTCGTTATAACAGAACTTATTGTTTTTTCTCCTCCCGTACCGGTTGGTGTTTGATCTTCCACTGACGTCACCGTGGAACTAGGGATAACATTTGTTGTTACTGTTGTTGATGTTGTGGCTGATTCTGATGTTGGGGATTGCGATGTTGTTGGATCATCTATTTTAGATTAATCTCAAATTTTATACAGTTTTTGATTATAAATATATATATATATATATATATATATATATATATATATATATATATATATATATATATATATATATATATATATATACACGTCGCTAAAGATAAATAAATTACTTACTTACTTACATATTTACATTAATAGATTGTAAAATTTATTTACACACTAGAAGAATATGTTAGCAAATTTAAAACTGCTAAGTTGTTAATATGAAACAACAACAAAAAAAACACGAAAAAGAAAATCATCATAAATATCAAAATATTAAAAAAATAAGATATTAATTTACATCCTCTCGTTATAACAGGACTTATTGTTTTTTCTCCCCCCGTACCGGTTTGTGTTTGATCTTCCACTGACGTCACCGTGGAACTAGGGATAACATTTGTGGTTACTGTTGTTGATGTTGTGGCTGATTCTGATGTTGGGGATTGCGATGTTGTTGGATCATCTATTTTAGATAAAATGATAATAGGATATTAGTGGTTTAAAGGGATATTTTTCTTTGCTGCTTTAGGAATTAACATGCCATTTAATCAAGAATCATATTATATGACGCATATTAAATACTACTTATTTGGTAGAACTTAAGGTCATACGCAACGTAGTTGGAACTTTATTGTGTTCTTCCTTGGAGTTGAAGAGTTTCACTAAATAAAGGACCCGTGTGCAATACTTTTAATGTTATATGGATATGTACATCTCTTCTATAACAAATTTTGATGAAAAAAATCTGGAATTTATTCTTTGTAATTTTTGTACATTTTTCTTCTGAACAATGCAAAATTTTTCCTAATTTGATATCTTTTCAAAACTCCTGGTAACACATGCTGAATTTTTGTCTGAGAACATATAATAATATTATAAGTTTAAGTTTAGAATATCTTGAAAAGTAATCAGTAGGTAAGGTACCTTGCGTATGTCCTTAAGTTGAATATCATATATTGATGAAATTTGGATGAAAAAAAAACACTGTTACTATGGTAACCAAGTAGGGAAGATGTTCGATTTTAGAAGCTTTATATCAATATTAAACCCCATGTGCCAGCCTCTTGCATCCAGTTACAGATTGGATGATAGTCAAAATTAAAAATGGGGCTAGTTGTTCATAAATATCCATCATCAAAGTTTTGTGAATCTTTATTTAAGGGTAGGTATCAAAGGAAACATTTTTTTCAGATTTTTAATTATGTATTTTCTGCTTATTCAAATTGCAATTCTTTATCTAAAGAGTTTGATTTGATTTTTAAATTTGATGATTAATTCCACACCAACATCCTGAAAAACAGATGTGTCAGACTCCTTGGTATCTTTTATCTCAAGCTCACCAGGATATATCGTATCGACATAAGAATTGAAATTACCATTGTCAATGGACAATACGTCGTCGATATTTCTAAAGGTAGAGTTGAAGGCCACAGCAAGTGTTTTCTCCTTTTCACGTATAAGATTTTGGACAAATTCTTCTTCATATGAATACAAAAATAGCTAATATCTGGTACCCATGGGAATGCCAATAGATTGTTGGAAGACCTGGTCTCCAAAAACCACATAGATATTGTCAATCAGAAACAAAAGCAGCTTTTTGATATCAACTTCAGAGTACTTATGTATTATTTCAACAAAATAATTTTGCAAATGACCCAATGTCAAGGTAAGTTTAAATTTACGAGTTCCCTTTTTAGTGAAAAAGCAGCTGTCAATTATATCAAAAAGCCTGGATTTTGATTTATTGTGGGGAATGGTTGTGTTGACCGTCGTAACTTTGTAAGCGGTTGATTTTGGTAAAATTTTGTGACTTCAAATTATCCAAAAGTTCCTTGGATTTTTAAGTATCCATATCGGATTTACACCACTTCTTGAATATAGTGTTGCACGGTTTCTCACTCACTACTGTTAATAACTTAGTGAGGAGGAAAGAAAGAGGCTTGGTTGAGCATGTACTGGAACCTGTATCTTTGTTTGTAAGGATTTTTATGAAGTTTCGGAATCCAATACTAGTATAGATATGGTAGTTCAAATTCATTTTGGTTCTTTGGGATCTTAAAAATAAACAGAAACGACATATGATTTTGAAGAATTTTTCCTTAGAAATCTATCTTTATTTCGCTCAATTACGTAATCAGGAGAATTAATTTTTGCTTCCACAACTACTTTGCATACATGTAGCTTAGGAATAAATCATATAGGAAAAATATTGAGTAAAGAATAAAATGAGCCATATATCTTTGAGGAAGACAATAAACGACAGAATACTAATGAATGTCATAGAATCACGCTTGATAACATAACAATTAAACCGAAAGAAAGAAATTACCTGCAACTAACGCCGTGCAACTTGGATCATCTGTAATAGATACCCTTTGATAATTAAAGACATATATGCCGTGTTAAACAGTATTTTTGCACAGCTGAAACCAAACAAAATTTCTGAAATATGATAAGCTATAAAAAATGAAGCATTCTTGCAAATTCGACGAAATATTATTCGTTATTAACAAAGTACTGGTCAGGAAAAGAACATGATTTTCTAATGCATATTTATGAAGGATTGACGTTTATGCTGGATCTGCGCATGTGCGCAGGAAAGTATCGCGAGAATCATCAGGTCGAGGAAATATTTTCAATGAATTTGATCATAGGTTACTACATAAAATACTACATGTGTTTTTCGAAAAGGCTAGTTTTTTTAAATCGTTCTCGGAAAGACGTGATGCATTTTTCCAAGCATTTTACACGCTTAATGCAATATGTGTACTACATTATTATCTACTAATCCCATGCTCACATATACATACAAATGATTAACAATGATAAAAATTAGGGTTTTCCCCACTCCATTGTACAAGTCCGCTTGTTAACAGCTTTCCCCGTGCTGCACTGTCAGTGAAAAGTCAATTTCACGTGACTATTCCTCGGTACAAAAAGCAACCAACTCTGAGGTGTGCTCACGTATTGACAATGTTTACAACGTATACAACTTCGAAACACATAGACGAGTATTCTAATCAATACACGTTCAACGATCAATGCACATGAGAATTAATACAGAGGGAATTTTTTTTTCAAAAACGTGCAACTTGAGTCTTTATTTTTATAAATGCAACTTAAGTCTTTTTATTTTTATAAATGCATGAACTTTAAATTTTTAGTAACAAATAACTGAGCAACAACCAATTCAAACAGTTACATTGCAAATTTACGAATATCGAGTTTAAAAACTGGAGTCTTATTTACTTGTGGAGACTTTGTGAACGGTATTTCAAAGTACATTTTAACAAGGAAAACTGAATTTGTTTGTTAATTCTTAATTAGTATCTATTCTTCGTATTTTTCTCAAACACGTTTCAAAAAATTGTAAATTAGCTTTTAAGAGTCATTCTCTGTAAGAATCAAAGAATTTAGAAAAAAGTTGGAAATGGTACATCACAGATTTTGCTGATTTTTTGCATGCAATGTAGAAATACCATATATAGAACATTTTTGGGGATAATTTTTTATTTTGAGTCCCGGTTGCCATGGTAACCAAAAACCACGATTTTGAGGCCAAAAAAACTGAGCAACCTACTGAAAGTATACAATCTTCATCATAAATTTCTATTTTCTGCATTTTATTTACAGATTTAATTTGCCTACTCTGATAGAATATTTGTTGGAATAACTACCACAACTGATTAAATTATTCAGTAGCTGGCCATAAAAGAGTTCTCTTTCAGTAAAAAGTGTGAATTTTTCAAATTTTAACAAATTTGAAAAAATGCCAATTTTAGGCATTTTCTAAGCGTAGTAGCAAGAAAACGCAGGCAATCCATAACAAACAACTACCATCACTAAAAAGGTCATTCCTTACTCAACGAAATATAAAATTTCTAGAGTGGTAATATTTCCTAAAATAAAATAAAACGAAAATGAAAATGGTTGCTATGAAGATTTTGGATTAATTTGTAGATTCAACATTTTGCTCCTTTTTGTACATTATAGCTTTAAAAAAAATCAAAAGTAAAACAAATCACACTACTAAATCTCATAATTTTAAAATAAAATGATAAAAATGTAAGTTCATAAATTCAACAAAAATACTGTGTTACTATAGCAACCAAAAAGTCAGGAAAAATCACAGTAGCTATATCAGTGCATTATTTAATTTCTTCAATAAATAGATAACAGTTATTATATTTGTTAATTCACATATGTACATTTTAAAAAAAAATAATAAATAAAAATTTAAGCTCTAAAATCATGTTGCTATGGTAACCAAACAGTTTTTGAACACTTCCTTATAATGGTTGCTATCACAATTTTTGTGATACTGACAAGTATACAACGGATATCATAAAAGCTTCATTCATGATTTTTTCTCTTTTTCAATAAAATAAATTGAATTTAATTGTATTTCACTAAATATCAAAATATATGTAGTAATTAATAATTTAATTTTAAAAAATGGTTGCTATGGCAGCCAATAGTTCAGGAAAATCCTTATCATTGATATGTTTAATACACAAAATCTACTGCTTTATTGCCTGCATTTCTTCCTCAATGAAATAAATTCCACAAGCCATGTAAACGTTGTCATTTCACTTATACATGAAAATAGACATTCATAATTAAAATAAACAGTTTCTATGGTAACCAAATAATTCAGGAATAATCCTAATAATTATTGATGCACCAGTATACAAAACTCATAGAACTGCCACCAGTGTTTGATTATACTTTTAATTTATTTAGCGGGACAAAAACAGATGAACTCAAATTTAAACTGATCACATATATCTGATTTACTGCAGCAGGATTTGTTTCCATGGAAACAGTAAATACCTACATAAAATCATAACCGATCTTTTGGAAGCAACTTGCTTTATTAATTGAAACATATATACACATGATTAACCTGTACATGCACTTCTTAGTTTAAGTCGGACAAGCACATAGTCAAGAGTGCCCCCTCCCTTCTCGATTCAACTTGTTTTTGATGTTATTCAAATGATATTTTGCAGTTCCTATTATTATTATACCACAGCTACGAAGGAGAGGGTGGTATACTGATTTACCTTTGTGTGTCAGTCCGTTCGTCTGTCTGTCTGCCTGTGTGTGTATGTAGCAAATGTTTGGTTGCAGTTTTCTCAGGAACTCAGCTTTTCATTGAAGATGCTTGAAATTTTAGCACAGTGTTTGCTAAGGCATGCCATATGCATGGTGGGTAACACTTGAGGTTAAATCTGATGTCAACTTCCTGTTTATCCGCGTGTCAGAAACTGTCTGTCTGTGCCATACATAAACAAGCATTCGGAGAGTATTGCATAATCAATACATGTCCCCTACCTGTTTCTCCTTTTTGAAACTGAGTTTTTCTTCAGGATGCCATTTAAAAATTTGCAAAAGTTATGTCCAAGGTAAAACTGCTAGATTTTGAGGCTGTGAATGCCTTAAACCTACTAAAATAATCCACATTTAGACAAAAATTCAACTCATTTTTCCAACGTCTTTTTCTTGCTTCCTATTTATGTCGACCATCGGAAGTTAGCGCAGCATGAACCCGATCTCAATTAAACGAATGTGAAAAATTCAAAATGCCATTATTCTGTCAAAAACCAATGAAGTGATGCGAAATTCAAACTTATCTGTAACTCATCAAGATACACCCACATACCAAAATTCAGCTCAATATCTGCAAGCGTGGGACACACTGGCAGACAGACGGGGACAGACAGACGGACAGACACAGGGGAAACCTATAGTCCCCTCCGATTTCACCGTAGGGGACTAAAAAAATTCGTTGAAGTTCTCCCAGCAGAGATAAGTGTCTTTCATACACATTAAGAATGACACTCAAAATTCAGAATGTAAAGATTTTAAAGATTTTGTTCTTCCTCATAAAGGCACAGGGTTAAAATGAGTATTAAGGACAGTGCAGTTATGCAGATGGAAAGCATATAATTACAAACCACCATGCTCTTATTAGGTCCAAAACACTGTCTTTGGGGGCTATGCCCATGGGAGTGAACTCCCTATAAGCTTTTGAAATTCAATCAACAGAGAACCTCATTTTGACTCAAAGTGAGAAAAATATAATTATCTGAAATAGTTTTCTTGGGGGGGGGGGTGTTAAAGTGAGGGGGGCGGGCAATAAAATTATACCAGATCCTCCTCCAATATGTTAAAAAAAGGGGGGGCTTGATTTATTTGTATTAATATTTTTTTCAAGGTAAAACAAAACTTTTTTTTTATCTAAAACTACTCAGTATTTGGAAAGCTTCTAAAAATATTTTCGGATCCAGAACATAAAGTCTGTAATAAATGGAATACTGAGATGTCTTCATAAAATATGACAAAATCAAATGTAATATTTTTCTTTCTCAGCTATACTTTGGGCACATAAATCCTAGTTATATATGATTTCAACAATGACCATTTTTACAAATCCCCAATTTCTGCATGTACGTGAATGGTTCTCCTCTCCGCTGAAATTGCCATATTCCCTAAAAACCTTAATGTATTCCTTCATTATACATTGTTTCAGTAAAGTGTACACATTGTATTATAAATTTGGCTTAAATTCACCTGTGACAGTGTTTGCTGTGACAAAAAATCTAAATAATTAAAAAAAAATTTTCTTTAATGCAATAACATAATCTGATATTAATTTAATTTTTGCAATAATTTCAAATTCGAATGAAAAGGCATTCACCCACGATCATCGATCCCCATTCAAAAAAATTGCATCAACAAATTTCAGCCCTGCACAAATTGAAATCTAAAAAAATTGCAGATTTCTCCCGTGTTCAGTTTAGCGATGGGATTTCATAAGCTCAACTTGTAAAATAAAAAAAAAATAAAAGTAATCTAAAAAAAGATAAATAAAAGAAATTAATTCTTTAAAAAATTGATGAAATACCTTGCATGGCAATAAATTTTTAACCCCCCCCCCCATCTCATTTTTTTTTCAAGCACACAATTAAAAAGCTGTAAGAAGGTATTTAGTTTTTGTCATATACAGAATTGCTTTAGTTTAATTTGGTTTTTAATATAACATATATGATTTTTATTGAGGCCAAGATAAAATTAAAGTTTGTTTGGAATTGCCTCCTGCCTCATTGAAATGCCCCCCTCCTGAAAAATTTTTATTGACCAAAAGTAGGAAGATATCTTTTTAATTTAATCATTTTGGGGGGGGGGCATTACATGTATCACATACACCATACAAAACACTGAAATATTGTGTCAGATCTATGTAAAATTAGGTTTTTTTTTAGTTGATTGTAGATACTTTTTTTAAAAGTCAGAAAACACTGTTTACTGAGATTATTATCGAACATTTAAAATTTACCTTCAATTTAAAAAAAATATTTCCCTCCCTCCTGTGTCTGAAACTCATTAGGCAGCAATTCCAAATAAACATTTTTTTAAGGATGGCCTGACAGATGGTTTATATAATTTTCATCAACATCTGATTTTAACAGATTGATAATATGCCTATACTATAAATAAGTGATATAATTAGAATCATGTCATTATTTATGCTTTGGGTGTTTTAAAGTAATTTTTATAATAAATAGTCATGCCCTTTTATTAATAAACTCATACAAAATATGTGCAACTTTCAATGTATGTGATAAATATTTCATTGGTACTTGCCTAGTGCTTCTTATTGCCATGTATATTTCTTCATCACAACCTTATTATTATTAGCGCTGAAGTCCATTTGATACTTACTTTGTTTTTAAACACTTTTTTTTCAATGATGCAGCTCTTGTCACATAGGCAGGAATTTCATAGGATGCAATCCATTTTAAAGTTTATCACATCTATACATAAAAATGTATATTTCTCAGACACAGTAAAGCCTGAACAATCATTTAACTATGATAATGTTAAATACTTCAAAGGTTGGATTAAAACCCCTAAAAATATCCAAAGCACACAGTATTTATCCCCTCAAAGTCGCTTTCTGCTGTGTACTTTCACTTTCAATTTCATCGATTAAAGCAAAAGATTTCCGAAAAGGAAAATACCTCTTGACAAAAATGTGTGTAAATTTAGAGATTTTTACAAACTTTACAATCAATTTATTTTCTTAAAGTAAATATTACCTCTCCAGTTTTTTCATATGTTCTTCATAATTGTATAAAGTGAAATTCAGAGCATCAGAATTTTCCACCAGTGCCTGCGTTTTTTGTGTACATTGTTATGTTCAACCCCCTTTTTTAAGGCAATTTTTATGTTATTTGGCATTCAACGGCAGGTCCAAAATAATAGTTTTATAGAAAATACAAATTACAAATTATTTCAAAGGAAAAAATAAAAATAATCATCTTTATTTAATCAAATGTACATTATGGGAAGAAATATCATTTTAGGTATTTACAACCTATGTGCAAAAACAGGTAACCTGGTTGCCATGGAAACAAGACCAATTGATCACTTTTAATAATATTTTTGTAAATAGGGCTTATAATGTAATTATTTCATCAAGTTTCAGCAAAATCCGTGATTTTCAATTTCCAGCCTATTTTGATGCTTACAGAGAATGACTCTTAAGCAGTCACTTGAAATCGCATCCAAAATTTCCTTAACCCACGTGTTTGTAGTAAACATAAACATGTAGTAGACCATCATGCTTTTCGGCTCATTCACGAGATTGGATCACTGTTTGCTGTGAGCATGAATATTTCAATAAGAGGCGGTTTAACATCCGACTCGGAGAGAAAATAATATTTACCAAATAATATTTCACAACTATTTAAAGTGATACTGTGGGATTGCCCTATTTGCAGAAAGTAAATAACTTATATAACTTGATGAGATACCACATATATTTATTCCTTTAAAAATAAAACACTGATACGGCATATATATCTTTAACTAAATATCACAGAAAAAAGAAAGTAATGCTGACGTATTGCAATATGGTTACCAAAGAATAATCAATGTACATGTATATATGTAATATAATGAAGGTTCAAATGAAACAAAAGGTTACAAATTGATTAGTTAAAAAAGAGGACAGTGGGGAACAATGCTTACCTCAGTAACCTGGTATCCTGCTTCTTTTCATAAGAAAAATTATTTCCCTTGCAGTTCTGGAGATTTTTCAAATGAATACTGAGTAATGTATGATTTTTCCCAGGATATTCAACATTAGAGTAATTGCCCTAGTCTCCATTATCAAAACATCACACCTTAAATTGCACCCAAACAACATGGAAATATTTGTGGAAAATTACACGTAAACTTTAGTCATTGATGAATCCTTCACTGCTCTGTGACCATAAATGCTTAGTACTGGTATAAATTTATATTGTTCGAGCGGCAAAGTGATCCACACATGAACGCTTAATACTCGAAAGTGAAACCGTGGTATTAAGCAAAAAATACATGTACTACAACCAAACAGACTCAACATGTCTGCATATAATGTTTAATTAATTTCTGAGATTATTAAAGTTGTTTTCCTATATGTAAGACTTTAACTTTTATCAATTGTGACCCTTCTCTCCCCTATACAGGAAATGTTTCTTATGAACGTGAACCTGCATTACATATGTTACATGCACATTTACCAGACAATTTATGGTCTAGCTGTTCTTGTGAAGATCTTTTTTGTCTCTACCCATATATTTTCGAGTTAAACTGTAACAGTAACTCATCTGTTTATCCCCGTGGGTCTCACATACATTAAGAAATTCCACATAGGTATCATCATTTCCCCTGTATACATGTAGTTCTGTAGTTGAAGTGAAGGATATGGAGATAACGAACAGTATTCAATATCAAAGTCCATAAAACATTACAAATTAGGAGCATAGCAAACACGGACCTCCAAAACATCAGAGATGGGATCAGGTGCCATGGAGGAGTGAGCATCCCCTGCCGACCGGTAATACCCGCCGTGTGCTCCTTATAATGATCAGGAAATAGCGGGGAAATGGACTAATAATAAGTATGAAAAACATTGGTCAACATTTGACTTCATGAAAAATTGTTTTTGCTGGTCATTGTATCGACCATAGAACTTACGAAATATTATTTAATAAAAGATCTCGCTATGACCATACCTTTTCTTGAAAGACTGCAAAGTCCATAAAATGAATATGCTTTGCTGAAATAGTTGAATATTCTAAATTTGAGAACTTACTGATGATATATACTGCAAATCACACTTTTTTAAGAGGAACGTTATTCAAAAGAGACGTGCTTGCGAAAATTTCATAGATTGAAACATGGAGATAACGAACAGTATTCAAGATCAAAAGTCCGTAAAACAATACAAAATAGTAGCAGAGCAAACCTGAACCTCCAATACATCAGACGTGGCATCAGTTGCCATTTAGGAGAGAGCATCCCCTGCTGACCGATCACACCCGTCGTCTGCTCCTTGTCATGATCGGGAAATAACAGAAAAATCCATCATCAATTCAGTGCATAAATAATTGATCGACAATTAGTATGAAGAACGTTTGTCAGCATTTGACTCAATGATAAATTGTATTTGCAGACAAGGTCATTGTATTGGCCATAGAACTTACAAAATGATGACTTAAACAAGACTGTTGAAATTACAATTAAAACACGAATTCCTGACATTTTGTCCCGCTAAAAATGCCGAATATCTATCTAAAAAAGTAAGGTATGGCAGAGTTTAATGATCGAAGCCTACATAAATGAAATATTATTAGTATTGCGAAAATTCTTAGAAAATTGCCCGGCATATGCCTTCAAACTTTTTCAGTGTCTTTTTTAGGGTAAATACATGTATACAAATAAATGTGACCAATGCAGAAAAAAACAATACCTTTTGTTTACGAAAAATCTACTCACCCGATTGTGCCATCTTTCCCCCGCTAAAAAGCAACGACACAACAGCTACAACATCAAACACCATAAGATAATGTTTTGAGTACACATAATGTAGGAATTTAAATAGAAGTATTTATTTCATATTTTCATGAAAGGAATGCAAATTGGATTAAAATGTCAAGCAACGTACTGTATCTGAAATAAGTATAAAAATAATTACAATTTTAACCCTTTAAAGAATACCATAGGTTTTAATATCAAATATACATACTCAGATGTACGTGCGGGTTAACACACTTTTTTATGGGGCTTCCTGTAATGATAAAGTAAATTAAATTTTATAAAGGGGTGGGGAATATAATCTAACCATTTACAGATTTAGACAATGCCGCACACTATCTTGTAGTTACGAATAGTCAGTACTGTCCTGTCCAAAAATGTTGTATATTTTTTCTTAGGTCTCTTAAAAGGAAATAAATAATATCTATCTTTCTCTGTAGCCATTGTTAAAAAAAAATCTTGAAAAATTAACTAGAAATAGGGAAAATCCTTTAATTTACACAAATATGTTTTACGGAGATAATATTTCCAAAATCTGACACTTCTGATGTCATAAAAAACATGCACCTAACACTCTATATTTTCTACTTATCACCTATATGCAGAGTTATCAAGAAACTAACATCTTTTAAGGCAAAGTTCTCTGTGTGAGTATGTCTGTTAAACTTATTCACAGTAACTTGGAAACTATATATCTTGAACAAAGTTTACAATCAGAATGACAGCAAAAAAAATGATAAAAAAGGAAATATTGAGATTACTGATAGTAATCAAGGTGAAAAGTCCATCAAAACGATACAAATCGAGAGCAAAGCAAATACGGATATTTAAAAAAAATCAGCGGTTGGGACAGATGTCATGGAGTAGAAAGCATCCCCTGTAAGTCGATCTCATCAACCGCGTGTGCCCTGTCATGACCGGATAAATGAAATTATCCCTAAACAATCCAGTGTATAAATCAAGGTCTACCATTAAGTACGTAAAACGATATTTATATATATCACTCGATTTAATGAAAGATTGATTTTGCTGAAACAACCATTGTATCGACCACAGAACTACAAACGTTTCCTCTATCATTAATTTATCGTGCGTGTTTATTTTTTAATACATAAAAAAGGGTATCTTAAAGTCCAAAAAGTAAGTTTTACCCACTTTTATACACTTCAAAACTTACACATGCACATGTAATTACAAACCACAACGGTTGACGGTCACTGAAAAAAAAAATTAAAAACACGATCGTCGTTTTTTTTTAAATATATACATACACTTTAATAAACATGTTTAAAAATGTTTATTTCTTGCATTTTATTTGTTTATTTCATTTTTTAGACGTGATAGCACATAGAATATGTCCACCCACTTAGCATGTGTTATACGATGTTGAACGTTAAAAAGTAAGAATAATAGTAAGGTGTTCTTGTACTTCTTTTATTTACAAAATTCTAATCACCCTGTGCTCCGGATCAGAGTCATTATCATTGCTATAATGTCTTTTACTTACAGAAGCCCAATAGTGCAAACCAAAAATACATAAAGAAAAAACGAAATTATTAGATAAAGAAAAACGAAATTATTTAATAAAGAAAAACGGAATTATTGAATAAGGAAAAACGAAATTATTAAATAAAGAAAAACATAATTATTAAATAAAGAGAAACGGAATTTTTAAATAAAGAAAATCGAAATTATTAAATATAGTAAAACGGAATTATTAAATAAAGAAAAACGAAAATATTAAATAAAGAAAAACGAAATTAATATATAAAGAGAAACGAAATTAATATATAAAGAAAAACGAAATTATGTGAAAAGTGTGCATCCGAAACTGGGATACAAATGTTCCATGACTTGTTGAACTGCGTTGTTTATTTTTGGACTAGTCCGTTTGTGTAGTAAACAAAACGCGGGATCGGGAAACAAATTAGAAAAAAAAGAGGCCCATGGGCCTTATAGGTCACCTGATTATCATGAAACAACTTTCCAAATATTGAATTTGGTTCGTGTTTTAAAACAGATGCCATGAAATTCGCAATTTTGAAAGAAGCACCATTTCTTATCATAATAATACACCTACAATGCTTACTCTAGTTTTTAATACCCAAAGTTACACCAGAGTAAGAAAGAGAAAATGCATCTTCACTTTATAACCAGTGGTGCACCCCACCCCACAGGAACCGCTGACCCTAGGGCCACATATTTCAAAATTTTGGAAATTTATCATAAATTTTAGTTCATCATAAATGGTTGATTAATAACGCAGAGCAGATTTCAAAGCATTTATTTATCTTCAGACTATGTACTGTTACCCCCCCCCTTCTATTCCGATACCCCTGACCCAGAGCACATGAAATTAATCATTTTGCTAAATGCACCTTTCTTTATCATAAATATACATACTAAGATCATTCTCATAATACCTAGGAGCAATGGAAAAGATTTTCAAAGAATTCATGCTTTTTCACTATATATAATCATTAGAGCCCCATCATAACACCAGAAACCCTGACCCAGGGGCCATGAAATTTGGAAGAGGTATCCTTCCTCATCATAACAATGTACATGTATATCGTTCATTGATTTTAATGAATTCATGCATTTTCACTGTATAATCAAAAGTTTTCCCTCCTTACACCAAAACCCCTGACCAGGGGCCATGACATTCACAAATTAGGAAGAGGCATCTTTCCTCAACATAACTATGTATATAGTTTATTGGTTTAATACCCAGGAGGAGAGAAGAAGATTTTTGAAGAACTAATACATTTTCACTATATTATCAATAGAGCCCCACCCTAACAACAGAACCCCTGACCCGGGGGCCATAAAATTAACAATTTTGGAGGATGCACTCTTGTTAATCATAACTATGTACTTAGTTAGCTTGTTTAATACCGAAGAGCAGAGTCAAAGATTTTTGAAGAATTAATGTTTTTTTTTTTACTATACAATCAATAGAGCCCCGACCTAACACCAGAACAACTGACCCTGGGGCCATGAATTTCAAAATTTTTGAAGAGGCACTCTTGGTCATCATACCTATGTACTTAGTTAGTTTATTTAATACACAAGAGCAGAGAAGAAGATTTTCAAAGAAATAATGTACTTTTACTATACAATCAATAGAGCCCCGCCCTAGCACCAGAACAACTGACCCTGGGGCCATGTAATTCACAATTATTGAAGAGGCACTCTTGGTTATCATAACTATGTTCTTAGTTAGTTAATTTAATACCCAGGAGCAGAGAAGAAGATTTTCAAAGAAATAATGCACGTTTAATTACTATATGATCTATATAGCCCCACCCTCACACCAGAACCCCTAACCCAGGGGCCATGAATTTCACAATTTTGGTAGAGGACTCAATGCTGATTACAATCATGTCAACACTCTGAAGAAGATTTTTAAAGATTGCATTAATTTTAGTGGTTTTGGCCCCACCCCTCATGCCCCAGGGGGACAGGGACCATGAAATTCACAATTTATGTTCCCCTTTATCCATAGAAGCTGTATACCAAATTTAGTTGAAATTGGTACAGTAGTTCCAGAGAAGAAGTTAAAAATGTTCAAAAGTTGACGAACGACGTACGACGTACGACGACGGATGAAAACGGATAGCAATAGGTCACCTGAGTTTACTCACATGGCTCAGGTGACCTAAAAAATCATTTCTTTAGTGTTGCATATCCATATACTGAAATATACGATATGTTACTGAAAAGAAGGAGAAAAAATTTGTAGATAGAATTACTAAAGTATTAGAAGGAGGTTAAAAGGACAAACTTCATTTTATTCCATAGACGTTAGCACATCCATTCACACAATAGAACAATCCAAGGAATACTGTAAACCAAGTTTTATTCGCGACGACTTTATTTCGCGATTTACCAGGGATAAACTGGTTCGCGACGATTAATTTTCGCGATCAAGCCTTTATGCATCTTTTTTTTAATAGACAAATATACTATAAGGACCGGTTCGCGGCGAGAAATATTCGCGATGGCGAGGCTCTCGCGAACTTCGCGAATATTTCTCGCACGCGAATAAAAGTTGGTTTACAGTAGCTCACTGTAACATTTGGTGGGAAAGGAGCGATTCACCCCTATTGTAGAATATAAATGGACTGATCCAGTAGTATAGAAATGCAGAAAAAAGGATACACAGACGTTTTGAAAAGGTGAATCACATGGAATAATTATTTCATGCAAAGAGATTAAAGCAAGTAAGCACTACAGTATTTTGCATCAGTAATATCATTCTTTTTTCTGAAAACTTTCTTTTAAAATGCAGGTAAAGAATTTCAATGTAAATCAGCTTGCACAAAATCTAGCTCTCTGGGTATAATCTATTAGTTTCAGATTTTGCAAATATCAATCCTTATACAGCCTGACGCCGTGACGTCAGGCAATGAATGGGGGGGGGGGATTTAACCTGTGGTATCTAATAGTAATATGCTTAGATTTATGTTTTTATCTTACATTAACATGATTAATGTGAACTTTGACCATTTATAAGTCTTATACTTTTGACTATTTATAAGTCAGTGGTACTGACTACTACCGGTATATAGTACTTGTTCTCACAAACTCTCAATCTTTGTATATATAAGTCGGTGATATTTTTGATTAAACGATACACACACTTGCACATAACAAATCCCACAAAGTACTGTAGACGTACTTTTTTCCACGGGGTCATAATTCCGCGGAATCTCAATTTCTGTTTAATCCGCGGGTAGAAAACTACGCTGATTCCTCAGACTGTCACTGTATGCATTACATTTATATTAAGTACGCTTAGATAAATTTCCGCGGAAAATTTGTGACCGCATACATAGTGTAAATTAATACAACGCTGAAAAAAGTACTTCTACAGTAATCAAATCATTTTTCTCTTTACAGTTTCAACAATCTAAGATTTATAGGTACCCAGATAGGACGCTAGGTTAAGTTAAGGGGGAATTCAGTAATACGATACGCAAGGTCTTGACCTTCGAGCGGTTTATGAACTCTGTTGGAAATGTCAGTAATTTTATACTTTTATACTGTTTTATAACTTTATAATTTTCAAATTTTATAATTTTATACTGTTTCATACTTGGATATTTTACTTGAAAAAGACACTAATGGTAATCTAACAACCAAGCTATATGATAAACGTGATGACCTTAACTTTTCTATCGTCAACTTCCCTTACTTATGCTGCAATATACCTTCATCACCTGCATACGGAGTATATATATCTCAGTTGATTCGATACGCAAGAGCATGCTCTACGTATGAACAATTTCTAAAACGAGGAAAATTATTGACAAGCAAGTTGACGAAACAAGAATATCAACAGTCTCGTTTAAAGTCATCATTTCGTAAGTTCTGTGGTCGATACAATGACTTTGTCAGCAAATACAGTTTATCATTGAGTCAAATGCTGACTGACGTTTTTCATACCAATTGTTAGTCCATTATTTATACACTGAATTGACGACGGATTTTTTCCGTTATTTCCTGATCACAAGGAGCACACGGCGGTTGTGACCGGTCGGCAGGGGATGCTCACTCCTCTATGGCACCTGATCCCACCTCTGATGTTTCGGGGGTCCGTGTTTGCTCTGCTTTAATTTTGTATTGTTTTATGGACTTTGAGATTGAATACTGTTCGTTATCTCCATATCCTTCTTCATACAACCATAAACAGCCATCCTCGTTACCTCCAGGCTTACAGGCTCCAACTATGAAGCTGTGAAGATTGACACAGCAACAATATCCCGTAAACAAAATTGAACAGTTTATGAATCGTTTACAGAAATGCGAATTTTAGGCCGTGTGCACATATTTTTTCTACGTTTGTCAATTTGATATTTATTTTTCTTTTTAATTTTTCATTTCCTCCACACATTTGTAATGTCGAAACAATATAAAGTCTAACGAGTTACTAGATGATGCTTTGTAACACGTGCGCTTTATGGAATGATTCATGGGTTCAGGCACTTATCATGCACATCTATAAATTCCGTATTTTGGTTTCAGTTTTCCATTTAAGGTAGGTCGCGGGTTTACTGCATAAAAATTCTTACGAGAAAACATATTCTGAAAATTTGATATAATGTTCCTTAGAATTTACTGCGTATAATCTGCAATTTTTATCAAATTTGCCTACGTAGTTTTAATGCTATGTTACTGTAAACGCAGTATAGTTTTTAGTACATTTTTTACGCTTTACTATTGAAGTATATGGAAAAATGACGTTTTAAGCCAATTTTGTGGAAAGAGTTTCTTTTAAAATGGTTGGATAACTTTTTAAAGACGTAGACAAATTTTTCAGGAATTTCAAAATGTCAAGAGGAGGTGAAATCAAAACTATTGATTTAAAAAAATCAATATGTCTTCTCGCTAGATTTTTTGCTAAATAATTTCAAAGTTTGCTTTTATTTTGCTAAAATGTTGCGTTTATGGCGTTGTTTATGTCTACAACGTCATATGTTGAATGTAGTCACGTTTACAGTACGAGTCTTAACATTTGGATTTTGCAAGATTTAAAAGGTAGATGCAGCATTTAATTTTATTCATCATTTAGCTTATTTCGGGGACATATTATGATGACCATCAACTTATTTTCACTTGTATTGTGAAATTCGTATTCTGATCACAAAGCCAGAATGAACGGCATGAATATTCCTCGTGCAAGAGAATTATCATGCAGCGACAACAACACGAGCTATAAAATATTAGTTCCTGTATTTTTAGGAAATTCATGGTCAATGGGATTTCAGGCATAACACATAAATTTCATCACTTTATTCGAAAACGGTAATGAAAAAACATCCCGATACTGAGGAAATTAGCAGGGGGTGGGGGTGGGGGGTGTTACCTGCAATGTTCTTTCCTTTTAGTCGCAAGCTTGTATATATAGCCCTTGCTCTCAAACATTTGTTAATTTCGAACCCTATGAATCAATTATCCATAAGCAAAATTACAGTGTCATACAGGTCTTACTGTAGCTCCATTTGAAAATTTAAACATTTTAATGAAAAATCATCAGAGACAAACTGCCAAGTTTTTAAATTTATGTTTTTCACAAAGACAAAAATATTTATATCAATCAAATTAATATAATGTCCATTATGCGCGCTTTAAATGATTGTAGTGATACTGTACATATATTAAAGTGACATATAGGTCCAATGGGCCGGGTGTGATGTATATACGTTTATATTGTATTTATTTGTTGTCTATACACATGTCACTATAATAAAATATTTACTTACTTACTTACTTACTTACAGTCCAAATGTTTGTATAAATTTGGATTTTACATGTATTCCAAAATTTGTTAGCCAGCAAAACAAAGAGACTAAACGAAATTTTAAAAAAATACATAATAACCAAATGATTATAATATTAATGATGGACGATAAGGGAAAAAAAAACAGGAAAGTACTTGTAACTAAATATAAACCGATTTTAGTGTTAAGGATTAATTTCATCCTGAAAATTATACGCATATTTTCCCCCTGGATTTGATTGGCAGTCATAATGCAATGCGCATGTTTCCCTGAGTTGCTAATAACGTGCGCACATACATCCCCCCTTCCAAGTTATCCGCTAAGCAATTTTATTTATAACTTTCTTTTTGCATACCTTAACTTTTACGCTGACTTATTATACCCCCCGCTTGAAAAGCGGGAGGGTATATAGTAATTACTCACCACCATCACATGGGCATACGTCACTAAAGGAATTCACCGAAGGCATAATTTCGCTTATTGAAGAAACACTTGAAGAATACCACAATCCATCGTAGCACAGACATAGGGCATTTCCCCAAAACTGATATGCCTCACAGTCTGTCGCAGCTAAAAGAAGATAAATATTGTTAAACAAACATGCCTGTACACTCCGAATTAAAAGTAACAGTTGATTCGCGAACGATACTCATAGCAAAGAATGTCAAATGACTTGAAAGATTAAATGTTTAACCTACTTTGACTGAAGAAACCACATGTATAATTCGGAAAACTGAGCACAATAAGGAGAATAGTTGAATTGAACTTGAAATACGACATTGCAAAGAACTAATGCACTATGATTGCATCAAAGAAGGCTTTTGTCATAAGACAAATTCCCTGACAACTTCCATAGATCAAGGGAATATTCAATACCACATCTGTTCTAGTTCAGTGAAATCTAATTAAAGTGAAAGAATAAAGACTCTTTTCGACCAGATAATAACGGTTTTCAGGGAAGTGTTATTTAACCTTTTTAATTTTTCATTAGCAAAAGATATTTTATCATGTACACAGATATTGTTGGATATTTTTATGTTTCTTGTCAGTTTCTCTTTAAATAAAAAAATTATAAATACTAAACTATTCGCATTGTGGTCAAGGGTTTATATTTACATTTGCAAATGTTTTCCTTTATATAACACTACTGAAAGCAAGCGTTTTTATAACTGTATATTTACATTCAGTGTAATTTTCCTTATGAAATCCATTAGAAACCCATGACGTCCAAACTTCTATAACACACGCGAAACCTTGTCACCACGCGTTAGAATACACAGTAGGAACTAAATGCATTTTCAATACTCTAGGAGCACAAAATTGCAAAATGTTTTATTTCAATTCTATGAAAAACTGTAACCCTGAAAAAATACGTAAAAATTAACGTAATGTGAGTTAACAATTTATTTGTCAATTTTTTCCTCGCAATGTTTATTTGCGTTATCTAACTCTGCAACGTCATTTAACGTCATTTGACGTCACAAACGGCTCTTACATCTATTAACCACGGCAGTTTTTGAAGGGCGCTAGATTCACATTTAAGATTAACGAAATAACCAATTATGAAGAAGGAAAATTAGAGAATGTAAATATAAGCATTGAATTCATATTTTTGGATGTCTTCGGTCCTATAACACACCTGGCCGTGCCGACAAATTATCATACCGCGCTAACGCGCGGATTTAATTTGTCGACACGGTCAGGTGTGTTATAGGACGAAATGCTTTGGAATTTAAAACATAGTCTTGCATTAGGATATCCTGCAATATGATTTACAAAAAATTAAACAAATCACGTGCATGCACGTGTGCTGCAACCTGATTGGCTGAAACTTTAAATGGCTATATCTCGTTTGTTTTTTGACGAAATGCTTTGAAATTTAAAACATATTCATGCATTGGGATATCCTACAATATGATTTAGAAAAAAATCATGAAATCACGTGCATGCACGTGTGCTGCAATCTGATTGGCCGAAACTTGAAATGGCTATAATTCCCTTGGTTTTCAACCAAATGGGATGGGATTTAGAATATAGATAGATATAAGGGCCTCCTACAAGAAGGTATGGTCATCATGCACGTGCACTCACGTGCGTGCATTTGGAACGAGTGAAATTAAAAATACACTTGAATGAGTGATTTTTAATATTTTTGGACTAAATGGTTTAATATATAGTATATTTAAATATATAGAAAATTGTAGACAAGATGATATGATCATTGTGCACGTGCATTCACATGCGCACGCCTGCAATGTTAAAATTTGAATATAATTGGTATCCCTCTGGGAAAACGTTGTTAAAGGCAAAAATGCACAGATGTTGTCTTATTTAATAGGGCCTAAATGGAATATGGCACCAAAAGGGAGTTGGGGAGCGTCTGGGGAACATCTGTAACGGTCCCCGTTACAATTAGCACTAGTTATTATGTTCCCCAAACGAAGTTGGGGAACATATTGTTTTTACTCTGTTTCTTATTATTATTATTCTTTTTTCTTCTTATTTCTTCTCCGGTACTTTTTTGTCCGGAAGTGTTCTCAGAAACTGTTCACCAAACTAAGTTAAAACCTTTTTAGGGTTAGTAGGCATGTTGTGTAGATGTGCCGAACGAAGGTCATTTTGCGCGCATTCGCATGCACGTGCAGGCGCGTGCAATGAGTAAACTGACTGATATATTTAATATGGTTGTAACTTTTATATTTTTTGATAAAATGTTTTGAAACTCATTATATAAAGATATATAAGTTGTGTACATAAGATGACATGGTCAAATTTGCATGAACTCACGCGCATGCACGTGCGCTTTGCTCTGATTGGCTGAAACAGAAATCTTAATATCTTTTTTGTTTTATGATGAAATGCTTTGAAACTTATATCATAGACATGTATTAGGATGTACTACAATATGATATATAAAATTTTTCATGAAATCACGCGCATGCACGTGCGCTGAAATCTGATTGGTTGAAACTTTAAATGACTATAACTCTCTTGGTTTTCAACAAAACAGCATGGGATTTAGAACATAGATAGACATAAAGGACTCCTACAAGATGGTATGGTCACCATTCACATGCATGCACGTGCGTGCACGTGCGCTTTGCTCTGATTGGCTGAAACAAAAATCTCAATATCTTTTCTGTTTTTTTACAAAATGCTTTGAAATTTAAAACATAGGCATACTTTAAGATGTCCTACAATATGATGTATAATAATTGTCATGGAAACATGCGCATGCACGTGCGCTGCAATCTGATTGGCTTAAACTTTAAATGGCTATAACTCCCTTGTTTTTCAACCAAACAGGATGGGATTAAGAACATAGACAGACATAATTGACTCCTACAAGAAGGTATGGTCATCATGCACGTGCGTGCACGTGCATATGAGTAAAATAGTGTAGACAAGATGATATCGTCATTACGCTCATGCAATCACATGCGCACGCCTGCATTGCTTAAATTTGAAATACTTGGTATAGTTTTGGGAAAACGTTGTTGCCGTCTTAAATGCATAGATTTTGCCTTCTTTAATGAAACTTACAGGGAATATGGCACGAGAAGGGACTTGGGGAGCGTTTGGGGAACATCTGTAACGGTTCCCGTTACAATTAGCACTAGTTATTATTTTTTTTCTTATTTGTTCTCCGGTACTTTCTTGTCCGCGAGTGTTCTAAGAAACTGTTCACCCAACTGAGCTAAAACCTTTTTAGGGTTAATACGTGTGTAGTGTAGGTGTGCGGAACGAAGGTCATTTTGCGCGCATACGCATGCACGCGCGGACGCGTGAAATGAGTGAAATGACTGATATACTTAATATGGCCATAACTTTTACATTTTTTGATGAAATGCTTTGAAACTCATTACATAAGGATATATTAATAGTGTTAATAATATGACACTGTCAAATTAGCACATACTCATGCGCATGCACGTGTGCTTCGCTCTGATTGGCTGAAACATAAACCTCAATATCTTTTCTGTTTTTTAACGAAATGCTTTGAAATTTTAAAATTTATCATGAATTAGGATAACCTACAATATGATATGGAAAAAATTTCATGAAATCACGTGCATGCACGTGTGCTGCAATCTGATTGGCTGAAAGTTTAAATGTTTATATCTCCTTTGTTTTTTGACGAAATGCTTTGAAAGTTAAAACATTGTCATGCATTAGGATATCCTACAATATGATATAGAAAACATTTCATGAAATCACGGTTTGCACGTGTGCTGCAATCTGATTGGTTGAAACTTAAAATGGCTGTAACTCTTTCGGTTTTCAACGAAACTGGGTGGGATTTAGAATATAGATAGATATAAGGGCCTCCTACAAGATGGTGTGGTCATCATGCACGTACACGCACGTGCGTGCATTTGGAACAAGTGAAAGTAAAAATACACTTCAATGAGTGATTTTTAATACTTTTTAACTAAATGCTTTAATATGAAGTATATTTTAATATGTAGATAGTGTAGACAAGATGATATGATCATTACGCACATGCATTCATGTGTGCATGCGTGCAATCGCCAATGCTAAAATTTGAATATAATTCGTATCCTTCTCGGATAACGTTGTTTAAGTCAAAAATGCACAGAGGTTGTCTTATTTAATAAGGCTTACAGGGAATATGGCACCAAAAGGGAGTTGGGGAGCGTTTGGGGAACATCTGTAACGGTTCCCGTTACAATTAGTACTAGTTATTAAGGTCTTCCGTCTTCACGGAAGACCTTATAGTTATTGCACTGTTTCTTATTATTATTATTCTTTTTATTATTTTTTTGACTTTCTTATTTTGTGTGCGCGATTTCTCGAAGACTACTGGATAGAATTACATGAAATTATCAGAGAAGATGTGTCGTAACATGAACTTGATCTATCTGAGCAATTTTTTGAAAATTCCTATCTGGTGCCAAGTTACGGGACATTTCCTGAAATTAAAATGACATTTTGTCCACGATTAAACTCAAAAACGGTAAAAGTTATCAATCTGAAACTTTCAGGGATTATAGATTGTGATATATACTATCCAGGACGCGACCTTTCGTTCGTCGTCGGTACTTCCTGTCGATAGGAGAAACGAATTGAAAAAAATTGTATTTTCTAACTTTTTTGTTTTTCAATATTTTTTATTTATTTTTAGAATGCTAATAGAGACCTTTCTATTGATGCTTACTATATAAGTTGTTTGGATATTGGTTAATAAAAACTCTAGATATTGATATTTGAAAATCTGAAGCGGGACCAAGATGACGGCTGTCTCTGTCAACTCCGCCATTTCGCGAGTAGAGGTCTATGGAGGCAGCTAAGCGTTTGATTAAACCATTCTGACATAAGGATACGTGAAATGTTAAAAACTACTTGGACTTTCACGTAGTAGTATGTTGCAATTCAGTGTCAAACTTAAAACTTAATTTCCGTTTCATTGCTTTAGTGTAACTAAGCTAGATACAATATGTAATGTGTACAATGTGTTAAATATACGTT